TCGAAAACCTTATTGATCTAGTTGTCATTTATCAATGTTGTGTTGAAATAATGATCCAAAAAATCGCATCTAAATTTCTTAGACTCATCGCTTTGAATCTTCTCCATCTTGAGTTCTAGTGTTAGAATCCACGATAAATCTCTACGTGTAAAGGGTCCGAATTGGTACCATTCGCCTTTTTCTGGTGTTATTTCGTTTGATAACACTCCATAAAGATGTATTATTTGACGTTATCATTACGCACTTTGGTCTTCGATAGATAGTACGCACTAAGTTTGTGTTGAAATACTTAAAAATAAGCACAGTACGCAGTGAATTTGTGCTGAAATTGCTTAACAAATGGGTGTGTCGATGGGCCAACCTTCTTTTAGAGTTAACCTGATAAATTGTGATTTGTCGATATGTGCAGTACTTCCTTATCTGAAAACTTTCTCAATTTACCTCTTTTTAAAGAGTTGACTCGTTGAACCGTTCATTTCTTACGTCTCATGTTCATACTTTGACATTTATTGACTTGGTTGATTGATATCCTTTCTCTAAGCAATTCATCTATCGTACGNCCACTATGCCGTCCAAGAAAAATGGTAATTCCAATGGCTTCTCGGGATCGATGAAGTTGAAGCCGATAATGGATATGAAAGCACAAACTAGAAAACTACCGGTTAGTCGTCTCATTTACCTCACTGTATTCATATTCTTTTTCGAAGATGTTTTGATCATTCAAGCCATTCCAGCCTTGTTTCGTAACATCCGAATAAATCATCTTAAAATTAGTCAATGGACGCGATGTTTGATCTTAGAATTATAGAGCTGTTACCGAATTATTTGTCCTTGTTATGTTCGGTCTGAAGATTCACCTAGAGGAATGCTTTAGTTCAAATAACTGTTTGGCTGACAAAAATTCAGGATGGCTCACGAGTAGCGTCGTCATTGGTTGGTGATGAACTGATGCAATATAATTTCGAGGATGCACGAACAATAGTAGAGTCGGTGCACCGAGGCAATCGTGTCTCATCCAGTGGGCCAATGCTTGGCTCTAGACAAAAACAACCCGACGGTAGTGAACCGTATGTGTGGCTAACATACAAACAAGTCAGCCATTCAGCTCAAAACTGACCCCTATCAGCCATGTGCACAATTTTCTGAAATGCTTAACTAATATTATCACTTAAGTCATAATGGCAGTTAAGAATTCCTCATATAACTCGTAGT